AAAATGGGAACCTGGAGGACACAGCAGAGCTGGTGAGGAGGCAGGAAAGGGGGCACAAGGACTCAGAGGGGGAACCCTATCACAGGGAGACATAGAGGAGCTTCTCTTTTCCAGACATCTGAGATTCCACAAGGAAGACCGTTCAGAAGACCCAAATTTGGGCTTCCTCAGTTCTGCTGCTGCCAGAACTCCTTTCTCCCTTTTCCTTTTGGAACGTGGGAGTCTCGGCGGACTTGCTGACTCTCATTTCTTATATTAGCACCATCAAGCTTGCTGGGAGACACTTTGAGGACCAGGGAAGTGGTTCACAGATGGCATTAGAAGAAGCGTAAAAGCTGAGCCCCCGCGGAGGAAAGGGGTGTTTTACCAGGATCCTTTTTATTTGGTCACCTTCGCCTGTCCCATGGCAGCACCCAGCCGAGACCTGAAGCCCTCAGCAATGCTTGTCTGCTCTGTGAGAGGGGTAAAACACTTGTCACCAGCTCTTCAGTCAACCTGATCAGTGGGCACGTGAAGGGAGATGCGTCTGAGCACACGGGGCTGAAGGAACGGGCTCTGAACTGGAACTGCCCCTCCAGAAGCAGAGGTGGGGTTCAAGCACGTCTCCCTGAGCTGGGGTGCGATGACTTGGACCAGGAGGACCTGGTCCTCTGCGACACAGGGACCTCTGTGTCCTCTCACTGCCCTGAGCTGCTTGTTTCTCACCTCTGTGGTGGGGGTTTGCATCCTTGGCTCTGTGGGGCTGAGGGGGGAGCAGCAGAGGGAAGGCCTGGAGGCACAATGTGCAGGCTGGCTCTTTGCTCCGTGTGCAGGCTGGCTCTTTGCTCCATGTGCAGGCTGGCTCTTTGCTCCATGTGGAAGCTGGCTCTTTGCTCCATGTGGAAGCTGGCTCTTTGCTCAACGCCTGCCCTCCCCTAACCCCTGGTCAATGAGTACCTCCTCATGCGGGCTGCAAAGTCAGCGGCAGCTCCATGTGACGTTGGCCATCCCCCTCCCTTCGTGCCACTGGCACGTTTTCTGCAGCTCTGGTGTGTCTCTGACTTCCATGCTCACCCCTCCCTGCTGTTTAAAGGGGAGATGTCTTGAGGGGGGGTGTCTTGACCACTCAATGTGCCCTTCCCAACACAGCACAGCCCTCGGCGTAATCACTGCTGCCACACACTCTGTGCCACAGCAATGAGACCACCTGGCACTGTGGCTTCAAAACAGAAAGCAAAGGAGATCCCCAGCAAAAGCTGTGGCTAATTAAGGAAAGGAAGTCCCCCCCCAAACTGGAGATGGACAGAGAAGCCAGCTCTAAGAGAGCGCGATGTGCAAAGGGCAAGAACGTTACAAGCAATTAGTGGACGGGGACACGAGCTGAGTGGCTGTGTCACACCAGCTGCTCGTTGGTGTGTAACAGTCCTCATAAACATAAATTACAATAATCAGCGTGGCAAGGGAGGGATTGCTGTAAGCCTGACAGGGCTGGCTTTGGGAGGAGGATGAGGAGGGGCAGAGTACCCGGCCAGGGGGGTTGAAAGGCTGAGGGACTTGGGTCTTTTCAGTCTGGAGATGAGAAGGCTGAGGAGGGATCTGATCAATGTCTATAAATACTTCAAGGGTGGGTGTCAGGAGGATGGGGCTGGTCTTTTTTCAGTGGTGCCCAGGGACAGGACAAGAGGAAATGGGCACAAACCTAAACATGAGGAGGAACTTCTTTCCTATGAGGGTGGCAGAGCCCTGGAAGAGGCTCCCCAGGAGGTGGTGGAGTCTCCTTCTCTGGAGACATTCAAACCCACCTGGACATGTTCCTGTGGGACCTGCTGAGTTGGATAGGATGATCTCCAGAGATCCCTTCCAACCCCATATCATTCTGTGATTCTGTGATTCCTACACGTGGGTGTTCAACGACCGGCTGGGAGGGGAGCACACATGGGTGTTCAACGACCGGCTGGGAGGGGAGCTGGGGGATGGATGGATATCCACCAGCCTGTGGGACATCTCCCAGTACATCTCCCTGGCAGACTGACGTGGTGCTAACAAGGCTCTGCACCGTGTAATGGTGCTGGGGCTGTTCCACCACTAATAGCCCAAAGCAAACTGTAGAACCCAGTACATCTCCCTGGCAGACTGACATGGTACTAACAAGGCTCTGCACCGTGTCATGGGGCTGGGGCCGTTCCACCACTAATAGCCCAAAGCAAACTGTCCCTAAATGTGTGCTCTGTGAAGGGCAACACAGGCTGAGGTCGCTGCTGTTGAACTTGGCACCCAGCAGCGGATGCCTCAGCAATACTGAGCGCTGCATTTGCAGGGCAGTGCCTGCAGGGAGCCTTTCAAACATGCCAACTTAATGGCTGGGCAAAAGGCAGCGTGCTTGGTTTTTGTGAGGGATTTTTTCCTGAAATTACTTTGGGTTCTGGAGTTGGTTTTTCCCCCTTTTGTTTTGTCACAGTGAAATCCCATAGCCTCATGGAGTTGCAGGGGAAATCAGGTGTGAAAATGGGCTCATTGCAGTTAGGAATATTTCATATAAAAAAAAAATGGGTCTGGCTGGGACACTACAAGACTTGGTGTAAGTCCGTGCTTGTGATCACCTCAGCTTGTGCTGGGGGAGACTTTGTTCAGCAAATCATCATCCTCCTCCCCCAGCTGTGCAGTTCCTGGGCTGTCCCTTGCCTGGTTTGGCCCACAGCTGCTCTCCATGTTGATGTAAATTGCAGCCTTTGAAGCTAAACAGGCTGAGCTTCCTCACCTGGGGACCATCTGCTCTCAGGTTCCTACAAAGAGCACCTCAGCCCAGCTGTGTGTTCAGCTGGAGGGAGGACGGGGGGAGGTGTGAGGGAGAGGAGGCTGGAGACATCCCTGGGTGACCAGTGTTGCTGGGGGTGGCTTTTCAGGAGGGGTGTGGATGGTGCATCATGTAGTGTGCAGCAGAAACGGGGTTGCTTCTACCTGGGGGAAGCCCCAGGACCGTGCCGATGGCACGAACAGCTCAGAGCCATCATCCTGCGTTACATCCTCTGTTAGGCCAAGGGAAAATGGTACCTCTTTCCCAGGCTGCGAGCAGCACGCAGGCTGGAGTGATTTTTCAGGAGCAGCAGAGAAGGCAGCAGCATCCTGAGCAGCATCTTAATCACAGACCCAAGGGGTTTGCCAGGGCTGCTCCTCTCCAGAACCTTCTTTGTCAGCAAACCCCACTGCAGAGATGCGAGAGGGACCAAGGGATGCCGGGGGTCAGTGGGGAGAGTGGCCCCAGCCCCATGGCTGATGTAGGGGCAGGCATAGGGTGTGAGGCTCCGCTCTGTACCCCTTATCCCTGCACAAACCTGGCTGAGGAGGGGGGTCTGGGAGCACAGCAGGGACTGAGATGGAGCTGGAGCCCATCTTGTACATCAGCACCCTGCCCCAGGCGTGCTCCCTGCCTGGATCCCAGCCAGACACATTAAATCCTCCCGTTTCTCCCTCACATGGTGAGGCCCCGGTGGGGACACTGCATCCAGCCCTGGGCTCCAGCTTCGGGAGAGAGGAGGGAGAGTGCCCAGGGGGGTTTGGGGACAGCCAGAGGGCTGGCAGACCTGCCTCAGGAGGGGACCAAGGCTGTTTAGGCTGGAGGGCGAAGAGCTGAGCGGAGGCGATAGCTGTCTCCAAACCCAAAACAGCAGAAGGGAGCAGCCT